ACTTAGACTAAGGCCAGAAAGATGTAGGTGGCTATGGGCTCTGCTTCCAGAAGCTCAATGGCATCTCATTTGCTCTGGCTGGAATGCAGAAGGAAAATTTCTTCTCAACAGACAATTGATCTAAGAATAACTCCCTCGAACAGACTTTCAGGCTTCTTTTGTACTTAGATATTAAGCAGAAGTAATTCTATGACTACTGAGACAAATTTTGTTATTAGGAATTTACAGTAAGTTCTTGAAGATTTCAGTTCACCATCCAGGGCAGTCGATACTATGGTTGCGTAGTGTATTATAATAATGTCTATGGCTGCAAGTTTGCATGAGCTTTGCTGTAAGCAGCAGTTGCTGCAGTATCTACTATATTTCTAGAAACTGATTGAAATAATTTTGAGTATGAAATATAAAATTATAATCTGTGCAGTGAATCATACTCATTTTCATAAATATATCTGTGCATATATACACCAAAATTGCAGTTGTCTCCATTCCTGGAATGATATGATACCTTTTAGTGTAAGCCAAACAGTTGTTTCCTAAAGCTAATGGTGAGTAAAGTGTAACATCAAGACCCAGTTTGACAAATAGGGAAATGCTGGGTTAGAATAAGGTGACTAATTGTATAGTAGAGATCACTGGTAGCTACTGGGAAAATACAGTCACTAATAACCTAGACAAAGAAGTAACTCACATGTTAATGAAACCTTCCAACTGTGCTTTGGATGTGCTCTGGATGAGTTATAAAAAAAGGATAGAAAGCAACTGGGAAACAAATAATCTGTTTCTTGGAGGTCTTAAAAACTTGATGAAATGCAACAAAAATTGGATTCAACCTGGAGAAATGCCAGCTAATCTATCTCAAGAAAAATAATTCAAGTTGTACATACTTACTGTGGTGGACAAATCTGGAAAGCAGTAATGTGAAGAACTGAAAAATTGTTGGAGTGCCTGTGCTCGTGCCGCACGAATAAGGAGGTAATTGTTCACCTCCATACAACTCTGATAGAAGAACACATGCATTCCTAGGTAGCTCATTACAACAAACAAATTGAAGGTGATAACTACTGAGGGATTTTTGAATAGACAAAAGAAGGAAGATTGGAATGGATCAATATTTATAGGCTGGTGAAAGGAAGGTTAAGTGGTTGAGAGTCAAAGAACTTGCCAACAATCTACAAATGGGATAAGCAGCAAGAAGGAAAAGGAATTATTTAGGATGTTCTGAGACAGAAGGAAGGAAGAAAGAAATGAAAATTTAGTCTGAATACTAAGATAAAAACTGTGATACAGAAATTAACTATACAGTGCAAAATTCTCTGAGGGAACTATTTAAACCTTATTGCTTGAAGACTTGGACAAAGGCTTGACTAAATATATTTCAACGAGTAATTTATTTCCATTAGCATCAGGACATGACCTTCCCACAAACTCCCATTAACTTCAGAGCCTTTTGTATGTGCCTTATGAAGCGGCAGCAGGGACTGGGCTGGCTGTTAGTGCTTGGCTGGGATACAGCAAACTCCAAACAAACGCAGTTCAGAGCCATGACAGGACCTGGCACCGGCTCGACCTCCAGGATGAGTCTGTATAGATCTACATTGAGTGAGTACGCCCAAAAGAGTTTTAAACTCATAAGTCAGGTTGTATTAGAATATAAACTACAGTAATTAACTTCTTTATCTATAACCAACTCTAAAGTGAACACAAATTTAAAAAAGAATGTCTGTCTGTGCTGTTTGTGAGTTTGCAGATTGTGTCTTTCCTTCCAGATTTACTTTTTGACAACTCCATGACTTTCTGTTTTGGTCCTTAGGCATTTCCTTCATGGGAAAACTGAGTGTCTCCCTGTCTTTGCTTGGGCTGCAGGCAAAGCTCCTTACTGTGATTTTCTCATTCTTCTTTTGCCATATTGTGCCAGTGGGACCATCTTCACCAAACAGGCTCAGTTGCATCCATGGTAAGAAGCCGTCTCCCTGCGGGCTAGATGGGTCCATCGAACTCATACACACTTTTAAGGAATATTTGCAGACTGAGAATGCCCAGAACAAACACTTACTGTCCATTACAACCTCCCATAGCACTCATACCCCACCTGTAGTTCAGACAAAATTAAAAGCCTCTGGACTGTTTGGTAGCATACATGAAAGTAGTTGTGACCTCAGATCACAGATGATCCAGATAAAAAAAATACTAAAAGCTACTGCTACACCTGGCACTGACAACGCTGCTGGAAGTCACAGTTAGGTGTGTCACCTAAAGATGAATCAAAGATAGATTTTGTACAGGAACCTTTGCAACCCAGTAACATACTGGTGTGGGGGAAGTTTTTGCTGATGCTACCACAGTGTGTTCATATGACGCCAAGACTGAGTTATACCTTTACCTTCACATTATTATTAAATTTAGTAAATACAAGCCTATGCAATTATATCCCAAATCACTTGGGGTGACTACCATGAAGTAGCACAAAAGTACACCAGCTTTCTGTTGGTTTTGTGTTCTAGGACAGATGAAGAGACCATTTTCACTGACAGGATCCCTTTAGTTTTCAAGTGTGTTTTGCCCTGTAGAAATGTCCTCTGGTTGGGGCTTTTTTTATGTCAATATGGGAGTACAGTGTGTGCCTGGAAGCGAATAATGACTCTAAGATGATTAACATGTTATTATTAAACTATGGGATAATCGCTATCCTGTCAAGTGTCAATGCGTGCATTTCATCAGCCCCCATGTGACTGTGGCTCCTGCGTTGAACTCCCAGTAGCTTTCTCTGATCTAAGGGGAATATTTTTCCTGGTCAGCAGCTGAATGTGACCCCTTCAGAAATGTAAACAGCAAAAAGAAAACAAAGGTGGATAAACACTACTTAGTCACCCCCCAAAATAATATTTTTTTGTACCATTTGGAGGAAGCCTAAGCTGACTTTTCAGATGGCAACATATTGGTGGGACCGGTAATACTTAACAAGCTGAGGTGTAACGAAGTGTGAACTTCTCAAGAAATACAGATAATTCTGCTTTTCAGACTGGCTGATGAGTCACAAGCAAGGCACCTGCATGATGAAATGGACCTGTACCATATGCTACAGCTGCTTTTGCACAGCTCAAACTGCAAAGCCTGAGTTTGTGCCAGGCGCTTGAGTGCATGCCCTTCTGGAGTTTAGTTGGCTGAGTTAAGGGGTTTAGTGGACTAAGCCCAAGATCAGCTCCTTCGCTGACAAGAACTACCGCGAAAACTAGAAGTGAGGGCCTGCCCCTCCTTTCCCATGGGAGTTGCTTTTAAACTGAGGTTTTACTATTGCTTTCCCCATGTTACTTTGACCTAGACCCAAACCCACTGGCTGGTCTTCCTGGCCTGAAGCTGACTCACTGGGCAATCACTAGGCTGTGTCTGACCCTGATGACTGTCCCCAGCCCTGATCCTGATCCTGACTTGCTGATCTACATCCCAGCTCCTCCGAGGGGTCGTTGCTCCCACCGGCCTCCTCGTCACGCTCACCACCCAGCTCGCCTTCCCTTCCGCACACAGGTGGCCCTTGCTGCTCTCTGACAGTTTGTCACTTCACTGGTTTCATGTACCTGAGTGACTGGGTTAACTCTGCTTGTTTTGGGGGTTCAAAACAAAATATGTGGACTTCCGTAAAAATTGCTTTCCAAGGTCCAGCATGTTGCATAGTCAACAACGAAGTCAAATTTTTAAGTATCAGTGTATTTTGCCCAAACAGATGAGTAAGACTAAAGGCAGATAGAGATACCCTGTGAAGTGGTATGTTCAAACTACTGCTCACCTGCTGCTAGACTTTAATTTCTACCATCCTGCTGCTGTGTCTTTTCAGCTGTGAGAGCCACTGTACAAGATAAGAGAACACTGGCTTTCTCCACTGAAAAATTAATTTGTTTTGGTTTTTTGGGTTTTACCAGGGAACCGGCATTTAATCACTAAGATGTGTCATGCTGCTAAGCTGCATGACAGCTTGATGCAGCAAAGGATGCTCCCCACTGAAAATGTAAACTATTTATGCTGTATATTTTTCTACCTAAGGAATCTACAGATTTTCCCTAGTCATGGCTTTCCCTTTTTCCAGCTAAATTACAAAAAAGTGTCTGCATTTCCATTCTGGTATCAGTGAAGCTAAACAGCTCTTGTACCCTTACCTTACTTTACAATATATTTTTCTTCTCTATGATCATTATTTTAAAGCCTGAAGGCAATAATATGTTTCCCCTGTGAAAAAAAGATTTGTATATCACACTAGCCAAGCTGCCGCTTTCCTCCGCTCTTTCTGGCTTCTAACGTTGTTCTTAAAGAGGCCAAATGACTGTTTCATCTCCCAGCTGTGTGAGATGCAATTTCTGAAGCAGAATACTTCAGAAGGATTATGGCCCATTTTAGGTACCAACAGGAACCTACTACTGCTCAGAGTCTGTAATTACATCTTAGACTTCTCATTATAGCCCTTGTTATATTTTGATATCTCCATTTGCCCCTACTGAAGATACTATGTATCTTAATCTACTTTCCCCCTATAATTTCCCTGACCTATATCCTCCCTTCACTTGTTGTTGGGGTGGGTTTTTTTGACAGCATTTTGCAACAAATGATTTGTCAAACACTCTAGATAGTTTCTGACCACCTGATACTGTAAATTGTTTCTCTGCTGCCCACCCATTACAAGAAGGCACTGATAGCTCTTGTTAGGGAAGACTCTTCCTTTTATCTTAGCACTCAGTGCCAAAACAACCCTTGCCTAGGGAAAACCCCTTCTCACATTTTGAAATTTCCAAATTTCTTCTGGATTGCAGGACTCAAAACGCTGTTTGGATGCCATACATTGTTTGAATTCATTAATTTTGAAGAAAAACTGTTCCTTGTATTTTTCAGATGTATTTTGTGCTCACTCCTAACAAAAGGTAGTCTTTTTCGGTTTTAGAGAAGCAAAGCACTAAATTTGCATTATGAGATTAAAAACCAAGTTAGAGAAGTGAAAGATAAAAAATAATGGAACACTGCATTTAAGGACCTGACAATAATCTATTTCCCTAGCTGTCACTTAAATTTCTCAGAGGCACATTCTGGCAGTGGGAGCCAACAAGACAGTTCAACCACATCTGCTTGAAGTGTTACTCTTCAGGACCAACCTCCTCCTGGACTATTAACCTTCTGTTTAAACTTTTGATTGTATGTATGCTATCTAGCAGTAACCAAGCCTTATAGCATTTTTGAAAGTGCTACATCATTTCCTTCCAACTTCTCAATTGAAGGAAACATTGTATTGGAGCTTTGATTAACTCTCACTGTCAGTGAAGATACAGATTAGAACCTGACCAGACTGAATTGTGCTTATAAGGATTTTGTTGACAGCTTTTTATAGAGAGTATGTTGACATTTTGTACAGATGGAAAAATTTTGATTTCTTTCTCCCACTTACTGTTCTCCTACACATGTACACACAGTCCCTCGTGTATATATTTGCCAGTTTTAGGAGGATCAGATCATCACAATTACAAGAGGGGAGTTTTAAACACCAGTGTTTTAAATTTGTATGTTTATTCCTCACTCAGAATCAACTCAGCACAGAGCTACATCTGTAATTAGTTGCAACAGCAAACAATGCCATTTGCATATGTAAGGAATTCATTTGTGAATTATCATCTTTTCTTAGGGAAGAATTTGCAAAAGTATTTACATGCCTAACCTACTCTCATGTTTTTTGAAGCCATCTTAGGCAACCATTCTGTGACTATAGCTGCTAATACCTTTAAAAACAGAATTTGGTATTAGTGCCATAGAATATGCTACAAAAGAGAGAAGAATGGAATGCATAATTTTCATTTCAGTTTGCCTCTGCATTTGATTTGGGACACAATATTAGAGGTGTTGCTATTTTTTTTTTAAAGAGAGAAATTCTGGCTCTTGCTGTACTTTTGACATGGTTCCCTTACTTCTATTCTAAGTCCGTGATTGTAACCCACATGCATACACATCCTTCTTTCACAGAAGTATTATTTTTTCACATTTCAAGCTACCTCCTCTTTTCATGTTTCTGCTTTAGATTTTAATTTGTTTCAGAGCTTCTGTTCCCTGTGATTATGTATTTGAGTTCAACTGCCTTAATAAGACAAGAATCTAGAGAAAATCAACAGATGTATATTACTTACATTTCAACAGTCCCGGCCAAACAGTGTCTGGACTTTGACACTTGATTGCACTGATGTGTTGTGATTAATGCTTTCCTAATTGTAGACAGCAGTGCAAGCACAGAAAGTCTAAGGACTGATTTCTGACTTTCATGCATGACCTGAAACCTGCTGAAGTCAATGGGAGCCCTCAAAGTCTCCATCCAAAATCCATCAGAGACACTGAACTTCCCATTAAAAATGTGGCAGTTGTTTCTGGTTCAGCCTTTGTAACTTGTTCACTGAGCCAAAAGGCAGACCAGAACACCAGGCAACAGATTTTACTTACAGATTTTAGAAATTTTATGATATAAACTGGAAACCTCTAATAATACATTATAAACCTAAGAATAATTAGGAAGTTCAGAGCAGATTTTTTTTTTTTTTCCCCACAGATTGTTAATTTACTTGCAAATCAGTCCAGCTTTCTGGATTTAACACTCTGAGGAATTCACCAAATGTTTAAACAAACAAGTATCATATACATACATCAGTTTGGCATTTCACTATTCCATTTGGCCTCTGCTTTTGGTTGTTGATTGGAAAAAACAAATCTGATCTGCTGGGATGCTAATGAATGTCTGTGCGTCAGGGTTGCTACTTATTGTTGTTAGTTACTGGAATTATACCATCCAGATAATGCTGGAATTAACTTCTCTTTCTATTTGCAAAAGTATTTGTTAATCACTGTTTTTCCAAAAAACTCCTATTGAGATAAAAATTAATTGGAAATCATATCACAGCAACTCAGCTTATCAACTTTAATGGGAGTTTCACCTGCTTAGGAGAAAACTCTTTTTTTGATACATTTTATTTGTTTTAAATAAAGGTATGCTTATGCATTAAATGGGAGCAAAGATGGAGATAATTAATCTGTATTGTGGAGTTGCCAACTGTTTAACTCTTCATGAGTTAATTAAAACAGTTTCAACTTTTTAATTTTGGTGTAGTTTAAATAGCAAAAAATTTTAAAGAAATTAAGAGGCTGCTAATTATTTTGTGACAATGGTTACATGCCAGGTTCATTGCAAGCAATTAAGAAAACAACTTCTGATATTTGTTAATTGCTCTTTACCCAGTATTTATTACATGTGCTGCACAAATGGAATGGTAGAGCAACCGACCAGGAGATACAAGAAGAAGTAAGTTCTTTTACCAGGAATAGAAAAACTCCAACCGGTTTATATCTTTAAAATACCTTATAGACTTCTTTGAACATCTTTAGAAAGTTCATATATGTGACATGACAATTTAGAAAGATGACAACTGCTGGAGAAAAATTTTTACAATGAAAATATGAATACTGCTCTACTATGGATAAGAGAATAATTGACAGTAGTTGCATGCTTAAAGTTAAACATCTCCTTGTAGTGCTTGTAGACTTGAGATCAAATATTCTTACTGTGTTTTGCTATACACTGGAAATATAATTTTGGGTTGTAAGTGATGATCTACTCTGCTGACTGGAAAGTTGTGATGCTGACTGTAAGTTGCAATGACACTCTAAAGCCCAGAAACCAGGACGACTCTCCTTTGCTATAAAGCAGGAGATACTATGGAGTGTTAGAAGCTGGAAAAATCATAAAAACCCCCACAAAAACCTGTCTGCTCGGCATACCTTCTGCTGAGTCCCTCATGTATCATAGGAATTTGCTCTGTAGGCAGTATTTCTAGATATGTTGCAAGATGTACAGGTGGGTGTATACATATTGTCTGTGTCATGATTACCACTAAGTTGCCTGACTGGTGTTCCTGTCAAATAAGCAAACCTTCATTCACAACAGCCTGTTTTTTCATATTTAGGTAAAAAAATGTCAATGCCAGTGTTTCCTCCAGTAACATTTTCAGTCTCACCTGCAACCTTCAAACACTTGTCACTAATCTGCAGGCATAAAATGCTGCACTAAGTGCACAAGCAGTAATCCTTAACAGCCATACAAAGGCTCAGCAGTGCCACTGCCTGCAGTTTGACAGAAATCGCCAGAAGTCAGAGGGGGCTCTCAGTTGACATTTTTTAACTATTATTTCTGTTGTATTCCAACAGGGTCTAATTGTTGATTCAGAGCCTGGGCAGTTTCCACAATCCGTCTTTGCATATTTATTACATGCGACCGACTGTTCTTTGTCTACACATTTCCAGAAATCTGAGAAGTGCAAGATCCATGACACCATAAGCAGACGCTCAGCATATCTCTAGGTGAGTCTACATGTCACTGAAACTGTACTCTCTCACAGACCATGCCAAAGTTGGACTTAATGATGAACTTGTTAAAAAGGGAAATGCTTGAATGGGCATGGCTTGGGTAGTTCCATCACTCTGAGTTTGGTGGTGTTTTCACACCTCCTCCATCATATTTGGTGATTATGCCTGCAGACATAATGTTTTCCTCAAAGTAGAGCTACTAACTGGCTAGCAATTATTTTGTGCTGAACTTCACTTCATCAGAAGCTAAAATAATATCTTGCATATCATGTCATCTTTGAACAATCCCTCTGCTGCTTTGTAAATTAACAGAAAGTCTGGGCAGCAGGACTGCTTTTGGCAGAATTTGCCAAAAAACCTGACAACGCAGCTGGAAGTATAGCTCTTCATGTTAATTCTCATTAGTACTATTAGTTTCATCTTTCTTTGCCCAAAGAACATATTTAGTTGAACATTTGGCTCCGATTTGCAATGGGATAATATTTATCTCAAATCTACCCAAACTTTGCAGAAAATAATACTTTGACAAGCAGGATCTTGGAGGATCTAATCTTTTTGTCAGTGATAAAATGTGGCTCTTGACACAAAATCCTTTCCTCCATGTGCTTTTCTTGTAAGCTTTACCACTGATATTGGATACCTGGGACCATTTGAAAAGCAGCTTAACCTTGTTGCATTCAAACTGTTCTTACCGGAGTTTGATGAAAATCTGCTTAGTATTTCGCATGTCCACTTTGAAATCCTATCATGCCTATCAGGTTTTGGGTTGTTCAGGGGCCCTATCACTGTGAATTTGACCCTGGGTTCAAAGCTAGCTTGAGGTAAATTCATAAGCTTTTTATTGTGGGAGTTACAGGCTGCATGATGGATTTTGGGAGCTGCCTTTTATCATGCATTGACTTAAACTGTCAGAAAATTTATATCAAACTCATTCAGACATATCTGGTTTCAGACTATCTGGAATGCTTCTCTTTGACGGTGACGTGTTGACTTGCATCACTTTCTCCTGCAGAATGTGGACACTTCCCGCCCACCCTCTTTGTTTATTCAGCATATGGGATGAAGCGCTATTCATCCAGGCAGTTCCTAAATCAATGGAACAGAGGATTAATGACACTGTAGCGTATAGAGCATGCCTCCTCGTCAGGCCTGGGGTTCTTTTAAGCTGTATACCCCTGGGTTTATTCCATACTGCTCCATTTAGCATTATCCCTGCCTGAACTGTGGTGGCTGCTATATCCTTTTATCAAAAATATTTCCTATCGGGTAACTGAAGTAAAACAAGCAAAAGGTTGAAAAGAAAAAAAAATAATCCACCACTGAAAACATGCAGAGATATTTTTAAAAGCACAGGCAGTATCCCATGAGAGAAAAGGATGGCAAAGGTGTGTGCGTGCCATCAGTGAGGTGGAACAATGCACAACGTGCCATAGTCCTGCTTTGCTTCTGAGTTCATTACCATAACCTGAAAAATAGGAAATAAAATTACAAGTTCATGCTCACATACCCTGCTCTGGCAATGCTACTTCTGAAGATGGAATTATTTGCAGTATTTTATATTGTTTGATTAAGATAACTTCAGAATCTGATGTGCCCAGTGAAAGAAAGGATCACTTTAAATATGAAGTTAATCTTCATGTTCAGGGGCAACTAATCTACATTCTGTGTGTTAATATGATATTAATTACTGAATTTCCTAAAATGCAATTGATTTCTACTCATAGAAGAAAATGCCTGTAAGAAGAGTCCATAATTATAGGTAGTTCAGCTTTCGCCATGATTTTTTGCTGGTATGTTCAGTCTAGAAGTCATAACACATTTAAAGTATTTATTCAGAATGTCTTACTTCTTGTACGTTGCGTGTGTGCGTATCTGCATATTAGACTGGAGAAATGCTTACACAAGCAGAGTTTGTGCTTCAAACAACTTTTTTTTATTGCTAGCTCTTTGTATTTGCTACACAACACAAATTAACTCTTCCTCAAAATACCATTTCCTCAAATAAAACTGCCATTATTTGCAATTGGGCAACACAGTTCAGGACACTGCACTTGCAGCGTGATTCATCTAGGAAAGGCTCCCTTTCTGCACTGGATCTTTGCAGGTGCATTAACCTTTCTATGTCGATCTGTCTAATCAGTCTTAATGTCTAGAAATTTCCATCTAGCGTTCATGGTTTTTTTCCACCATGGTAACCAGAAATCTAGGTACACACCTGGTCTTGTATAGATCAGGAAGACTTTAAATCAAAATCCTGACAGCTGTTCGGTACATAGTAAGTGTTATGCCTCCTTTATCTTTTGTTATATTAAAACAGGGGGACATGAAATGAAAGTAAAATATAAATTTGCCCTTCTAGTGTCTTCCCCAAGTCTGCTATACCAGTGATATCCCTGCTGGCTTTGAACTGAGCTTCTGAGACCAGCGTCTTTGATATGATCCTTGCCCTCTCAGTCATGCTGCTTCCTAGAGGAGTTTGTGTCACTGATCTGCTGACAGCCAGATTGCTATTCTTTCTTCAACATTGTACTGAGGGTAGAAGTGATATTATGCCATTTGCAGTGGGTTTTCTCCCCCCCCCCCCCTTTAAAATTAATTATTAAATGCGATGCCAGGGACAAATTATTCTGGGGGACTGAAGAACTGTGATCTTTGTAACAGACTTGGATTAATTCCAGCTGGTTTTAAGCACCTTTCTCCATTAGCTAGAAGAGGTGATTAGCATGAAAAGCCTCCCGCGTTAAGTGTCTTTTTAGCATTTAAAGTTAGCGCTGGTAAACTGAACCACCGAACCCTGCATTGGGCCTATTTTAATGGCTCAACTGTAATCTCAGTGCCTTATCTTTTCCTGAGATAACTGCCCATTTTCCCCTTTGTTTCAGTATAGCTATTCGACAAACAAAGCCGGAACGTCTCTCGCCCGCACGCTGCTTTGTTTCACTTGTACGGATTCCTGATGGGAAGCCTGTCAGAGGGACAATTCAAAGAAACAGCATTATGAACACCGTGGTCGTTTACTTCTGATGTGGGACCCCCCCACACACCCACCGCCGGCCCCCCCAGCTGCAGGGTCAGCTCCAGCCCCACACAGCGCTGGCGCCTCTGCCGTGCCGCCTTCCAACTTCTCCTTGCCGTAATTTAGTGCCGACGCTTAAGGACTGAGAGAGAACTAACTCATCGAGAACTTCTGGAGCGCCGCGTTCCCTCGGACCCGAGGAACCTCCACCTTCCGACGCAAATCCACGCCCGGAAAAATGTACTTGGCGGGACGGGCCTGGGCTGCGCCTCCTGGGAACGAGACGCGCCGGGGAGGAAGCGCTGCCTTTTCTCTTCAAAACCTGTCCTGGAAGCCCGCTGCCGGTGCGCGGGGGACGGCCGAGCTCCGCCGCAGCCGGGCGGCCCGCAGCCGGCGCCCACACGGCGGCGGCCCAGCGCCCTCTCCCGACATGGCCGCCGCGGGAACCGCCGGGAGGGAGGGGCCGCTACCGGGCGCCGCTCCCTCGGCGCTGGCGAGAATTTAGGTAGGCGCCGGCCACCTCGGTAACTTTTACCTGTCGGTTTCCGTTACTCCCGCAGTACTTTTTAAATACAGGCAGCGGGAAGCCTGGAGGCGGGCCCGGCGGCAGCGCTCCCTCAGAGCGACCGCCGCGGTCCTCCCGCTCCCCAGGGGGCGCTGCGGCCGCCCGGTCCCGCCCCCTCGACGCAGCGCATGCGCGATGCCCCGTAATTGTAGCGTCAGGCCGGCCCGGTTCCTGTTCCGGGCGAGGCTGAGGCGGCGGCGGCGGGATGGACCGGGAGCTGCTGCGTCAGGCGCTGAGCTACCACGGCCCCGAGCTGCTCTCGCTGCTCCGCGCCGAGCAGCACGACAACCCCGACTTCCGCGGGCTGCTGCCGCCGCCGGGGACCGCCTTCGAGCCGCCCCGCGGGGCCCCGTCCCCGCCGGCCGCCTGGTGAGGGGCGCCGAGGCGGTGAGGTGGAGGGGAGCCAGCCGTGAGGGGGCCGGGGGGGGGTTTCTGACCGGGTTCTCCTTCCCCCAGGAAAGAGAGGGCGAGCCTTGACACCGAGATAAAGCGCTTCATTGCCAAAAAAGCGGATCTCCTGTTCGCTCACTCCTGGAAGCCCAACGGACCTCTCTGCGAGACGATTGAGGAAAATGAA